ATGATCTTCTGCACCTCTTTCCCATCTTCGTTGAGCATTTTTGCCACATGCACTTCTGACACGCTGATAAGCACTGGTAAGCAGCTGCTAGACCAGCTGAAACCAAAGCAAATCAAGAAAACTGATCACTTTTCTGCTCTTCAAACTGATCGCTTTGGGCCCAGCTATGTGCCAATGCATGTGCATGGCTTGGGGGGGGCAGGAGAAAAGGAAACACAACCAGGAGTGAGACGCTGCCTTGTTCCTCTTGACAGTAGTAGAGCTCGTAGCTGTTGTGTCAAATTCCACCTTAAACTTCCCAGGCAAAGGTTTTTAAATGCCATTAGTGCTTCTGAGGACTGAACTTGGGTCTCTTCAAAGAAGTCTGGTTTTCCTTAGGCTGGGGGTTTAGCACTGGCGGTTGCCTGCCTTTCATGAGCCTCAGCCTGCACTGGTTGCTTCTGGAAACCACGGCCTTGCATCTTGGGCTCTACTTCTTTAAGGTGATTCTAATGTTCAAACTTTCCTGGAGGACAGGTGTTCTTCAAAAGAGGCATTTTTTTAAAATTTTTTTTTTTTTTTGGCTCAACTGTGACATTCTCAAGCTCTGCGGTACCGAAATGTGGGGTGGCTGGCGAGGATTTTTTGCTTACTGTTGTTAGGAAAGACAGTGTTTCATACAGATGGGATAAACATGCTTTCCTGCATATAGTGTTATCATCTGTGGCTTATTAGATGTATTTCTACACGTATGGATAAACGTTTTTCCAGTGGGCACACAGCAGTGTTGGTGCAGCGCTCCCGGTACGGGGCTGTGCAGGAGGCTGCCTTCCTTGTCTGCCCCGGCTGTGGCACAGGTGAAAATGCTTCCAGCCCCCCCAGCTTGTGCAGGGTGCTGATTGAGCAGCCTTTCTGCTGGGGAGGGGACCAGAGGGGTGCCCCCATGAGGCCCCACGCATCCCGGGCACACTCTGGGACTGCCGGCGGAGGATGCTGCCATAGAGCCCTGCAGGTAGTAACAGCACAGACTCACTGAGAAAGTGATATATTTTCTTTTCTTCCCCTGTCCAAAAGACACTCTCCCACGCTGGGGGAGATCAGAGTTACAGCAGGCACAGATGTTGAACCAGCTGGTTTCTTAAGGGCTAAAATAATTGAGAATTTGCTGCCCTGAGCTCATGGTCACCCAAGATAAATCCCCTTCTCTGCCTTTCCCATTCCCCGGTGTCAGATATTTCCATCCTGGCTGTAAGAAGGAAGACTAGACATACAAGACCACTCCGGGCCACTGGGTCTTTAAAAAGAGCACTTTAATATCATAAAGCAGCAGTTGTTATGGGACTGCATTACATACAGGATTACTTTGTTCCAGAGTTCCAAAAACTGTGGATGCTACTAGTCAATACGGAAATCTTTCCAGCTCCATGGAGGCAGGAAAGGCTTCTTATCACCTTTCCTCCTTTCCCAAAGCACACAGAATTCTGCATTCATAAATAAATAAATAAATAAATAAATATATAAAAATAAATCCAGGCCCAGCAGTTTTGTATTAGCCTCGCCAAGGTTAGCTAGCTTCAGGGAACAGGGGGAGGTGGCCTCTGACACTCTTTATGTTAACAGCAAATTATGAAACATTTTGCTCTTAGAAATACACCCAAGCTGAACTCGCAGCGCCCTGCACACCAGGAACAAGCCCAGTTGTCATCAGGCACCTCCTAAAGCAACTGGAATCTCTCCACATTTGAGGTAAGCAAATAAGTTTATGCCTCTGACATAAGACTTCAGAAAGGGTAGCCACTCCTGCAGGACTTCCCTTGGCACAGCTGTCCCACATGAGCCATCACATGGTAGCTGTGAGCTCTGGCTTCACCATCCAGGGTATAAAATGGAAGCCTTTGAGAGGGAGGCTCTTTTCCTGCAAGCTACAGATGCGGTCTGAGAGCTGTTGGTAAGTAAAAAACAAAAACAAAAAAACTCTCTTTAATTTCACATTAAGGTATCCCTGAATCTCAAATGGTTGTGCTTGGTCATACAATGTTCTTTTTGCCATAAGAAAAGACCCTTGAAATGAGAAAAAAAAAAAAAAAAGGTAAAATTGATGAATGTCACATTTCAAGTAAGCGTTTTCCCCTGTTAAATGGCAATTCCATGTTATTTTTCTTTTAGTGAGGATATTTGCTTAGCAGAATAAGATGTAATAGCGCTCATGCTGAAAGAAGTAGTCTGAAATTATTATTTTTGGTAACATTCCAAGTGCAGACGAGCTGTAAAGGGCAGAGGGTGTAAGCTGACTAGTAGCTTCTGTTGAACACTAAATCGGGAGGGATTATGTATCAATGATACCTGTTCTGTTTTGAACGTGCTCCTTTCTTGAGTATTGTAGCATGTGTGTGATGGTACTTGTGGTCTCTGGAGTAGCCTATAAATTTTAAGACAAAATATGTGTTTTGAATTAGGTCTGTCTTTATAGCTTACTTAACTGTGGTCCTTATGCTTACTGGACTAGTAAAATCTGAGTTATAAATAATTGTCATGGGGTGCTCTATCACTTAAAGAGTCAATAGATGGATAACGATACGTCCTCCAGTATATACCCTGTTGATAATGCACGTAACAGCTCTTGTATTTGAGCCTGGATGAGCACTCGGGTAGATTGTGCCAGTTGCTGTTTAATGCGTGTTTGTGTGACCTTTTAGGTGTGCTTGGGAGATGTGCTGCTTTTTTGGAAAAGCTTTAAAAAAAAACAAAAACAAACAAACAAAAACAAAAAAAAACCAACAAACCCTCATGCTGTTTCACTTTCTGTTGTGTTTTGCGGGATAAATGCTGTGTGCGCCTTAGCCTTTCTCTGCCCTATCTCAGGTGCATGTTATCACTTGCTAATGGCTGTAAGGTGTTAGAGGGGTAGAAGGTGATTAAAGTGACAATGTGTCCCGGCTCAGGTGGGTCCAGTTACCTAATGGGAAAGCAGCTAAAGACCTGGAACAGGCTTCCTAGAGGGGTGGTCGATGCCCCGTGCCTGGCAGCGTTTAGGAGGCTTTTGGACAGTGCCCTGTAATAACATGCCTTAATTTTTGGTCAGCCCTGAAGTGGTCAGGCAGCTGGACTAGGTGATCGTTATAGGTCCCTTCCAGCTGGAATCGTGCTCTCCTCCCTTTCGTGCCTCTCCTCGTGGCTGTGGCAGCGTGGGGAAGCGGAGCGTGCAGGGATAGCTGTCTTCAGGCGATGTCTGCTGCGTTTATTTCTTTTGTTTTGGCATGTCGCGAGTGGTGGGCATTAGTCAGAGTCAGCGGAGCAGAAAATAAGCTAATTGTGTAATGAAATCTCTGTTTCAAGCAGAACTCTGCTACCTGTATGCAAGGAGGCAAACGTTGACATTTCTGTAGCGTGTACTTGTAGCTAAAAAAAAAAGCAGGTAGTTGTGGATTTGCCTTGCATTGTAGAAGTGATCCTTGACTGGAGTTAAGGCTGAAGAGTTAAGTCTATCTCTTCCATTCTTTTTCTCTACGCCGTAAGAATATTCTAATTGCATGCCCCCAGCCCACAAACTGTAGTATTTTAGCAGGGTGATGCAGGGCAAGTGTCCGCCCCCTGACCCACCTGGGCAACAACTGGAAGGAAGGAGGAGAGTT